TCCCAAAGCAGGTGTGGAGCAATCCCTTATCCAAGGAATCTGGAGCCATAGGAGCTACCTCTCCAAATCCTTTTCATATGATTAGTTTTGGGGGAGGGTGGGCTTGTTTATGTGCATTGTAGATAATGGCAATTCCATTTGCCCTTCCCTTTCCCCTGGATATTCCTCCTAATCTATTGCAGCGGCATACAAGCACGCCGATGGGAAAAAAATTGATGGCAGGCGAGTGCTGGTGGATGTAGAGAGAGGACGGACGGTGAAGGGATGGCGCCCACGTAGACTTGGTAAGCATATGGAAAAGCATTACATCAAAAACATATGCAGTCTTAATTGGTTCCAAATGCCATCTTTTTAAAATTCTAAAAAATATATTGGAATACTGTGTGTAGTTCAGCCTCCCACATTAAGTTGTTCATATTTACTAAAGGTGGAGCAAGTCTAGAAAATGGTAAATAAAGTTCAGTACAATGCAGGGCAAGGAAATTAGTATTTTTTTTTCTAAAAAGAAAACTTGAATAGCATTATCAACAGATTCAACCCAAGTAAATGATGTAGCCTAAATAGGCTTTTTTTAAGCTATATTAAGATACTTTGTGATGCTTTCAGACAACATTAAGCCATAGTTTGGACTATGCTTTGTTGAATAAATTGTAATACTCTGGGTTTTACTTACTCCAAGCCATGAGTGGGCTGGCACTTCATAGTAAGCAAAACCAAACTTTTTTATGGCTTACCATTAAATATTAATCATTATTAACAAAATATTATTTTCCTCTTGATTCTTCTGCATTAAATAGGATTCCCTTTTCTTAACTTTTTCTCCTGCTTCCAAGATGACTTATATTATTGTATATATAATTCAGATGCTTTGAGTAGGTTAAATTTGAATTTCTGATAAGGCTGTTTTCACAAAATGTCTAAATTAAACTAAACTGAGTAAGGACTCCTGCATGAGAATATGTTTTCTACTAATTCTATCAAATTTTAACGAGGTCAGCTTCCAAAAAGAGAATACAACTGGAAACAACTTATATGTTCTTTTCATATGTAGGTGGCGGTCTCGGTGGTACTCGACGGGGAGGTGCTGACGTAAATATAAGACATTCAGGTCGAGATGACACTTCTCGGTATGATGAACGGTAAGTCAGAATGTATTGGGATAAAATAGGATGGTGTTTCTGCCATCATTCCTGATCTTAAGAGTGTTAACTGTTTCCTTGTGAAAGCAACAGAAGAAAAACCAATCTATTTGGTGTAGTGGTTAAGGTACCAGATTAGAAAACAGGAAAATTGCATTCTAATCCCACCATAGGCATGAAAGCTGGCTGGATGACTAGGCCAATCACTCTCAATCAATCAATCAATTATCTGTTGGCTGTTCACCGCCCCGAGTCCTTCGGGAGAAGGGCGGTATATAAATCAATCAGTCTATATCTTAAAGTTGTTGTGGGGAAAATAGAAGGAAAGTATTAGGTATGTTCACCGCCTGGAGTTATTTATAAAAATAATAAAAGCAAGATAAAAAATTGAATAACTGATAATTGCTCTTTTTCAAAATCTTATGTAATTCCAGCTGCATGTTAAGAAGGTCCACAAAGCTGATAGTGAGAAGGAATCATCTGATATTTAAAATTTGAAGATTCTTAATTGAAGCAGAAAGTCTTTTATTTGGTTAAAAAAAATACATCATTTACAGATTACATAGATAGTATTTTTTAAGGTTAGGGTTAGCTTTACTTTTTCTTAATGAAGAAACTAGGTTGTATTGCTGATATTGTGGGCTCAGCCTGATAGCTTTTTTATTATACGTGGCTGATGGCTTATTTTACCTTGGTTCTCTCAGGGATAGGGACCGTGAACGTGAACGTGATCGCCGAGACCGCAGCCGAGACCGGGACAAGGAGCGGGAACGCCGTCGCAGCAGATCCCGGGAACGCAGGAGGCGAACACGGAGCCGAGAGAAAGAGGAGCGGAAACGCAGCCGGGAACGGAGCAAGGATAAAGACCGTGAACGCAAACGTCGAAGTCGTTCTAGAGATCGCAAACGAGATCGGGACCGGGACAGAGAAAAGAAGGAGGAAGTGCCAGAAGTGGGAGAGGCCCAGCCTGATGAGGCTGCTCTTGGCGAGATAGGGGTAGATGGGGTAGAGGCGAAGCCTGAAGGGGAAGAGAAAGGGAGAGAGAGGGAGAGGGATAGGGAGAGAGAGAGGGACCGCCGACGTGGTCATCGTGACAAAGACAGAGACAGGGATCGTGATAGAGAGCGCCGTCGTGAAAGGGATCGAGATAGAGACCGTGATCGCGAGCACAAGCGTGAGAGGGCTGAGCGGGGTGGAGAAAAACGGGAGGAGAGGGGACAGGACAATGGGATGGGAGGAGCATTGGAGGAAACCAGTCAGGATATGTTCCTGGACCAAGAATCCATACAATCAGCTGATGGCTACTTATCTACTGAAAATGGATACATAATGGAGCCCCCGCTGGAATGATGAATGGAGACTCTTCCTTGTCCAGCTAGGTGAGGCTCTGCTTCTCAGGCTGCTAGCCAATGAGGCCCTGTCAACCAGTTGAGGTAACTTGATTTTAACTGGTTTTGTTTAGAAGGGTAAGTGTTTCAGGTCTGTTTGTCCCATTCCATTTCTTCTTAACATGTACTTTCCACCAATCCCTTGTGTATTTGGATATTTTTGTTTAAACAAGAATAAAGTGTTAAAATGTTTTCTTCTTCATGTGCAATGTATATGATATTGGGATAATAGCAGAGGTGCTTTGCTGATTCTCGATTACTAGTAAGTGGGAGATCTGTTAGAGATATTTAGTTACATGCCAAACTGCTGTTGAAAATACTAATAATCAGTGATCCAGGGTTTTGCTTGTGGTGCTTTGGGAGAGAGGGAGGTTGGAGCAGGAAGCAGCAAGTAAAAAAGCATCAAAAGGTAATGAAAAAGTTCAATTGTGTGCCGTTACTACCTGGGAGCAGAAAGACCAAGTGCTATAAATAGAGTTCAAGTCTTTGTTCTCTTATCAATAGAGAACAACTTTGTGGTTTTAGCAAACTTCAACAAGATGCACTGAGATCAGCCTGGTTTACCTGCATTTGACTGATGTGGGAAATGACACTAAAGGGAATATTTAGTCGAAATTACATTTATACAGAGAAGAGAGAATAATTTCAAAGTGAGCAATACAATTGGAAGGTTGCACCTCACAATTTAAGCACATTTTTAGAGCTTATTTTATCTAATTCTGCATTTTAAAACCTATTTTACCTTGCTCAATCTAAATACTTAGGAAAGGATTGCACAAGAAATTAGGATACTAAATACTTATTTTCAGTTACTGGGCATGGTTCACTATGCTTTTGGCATGTAAGATTTTGCGTTGTATCGCTGTGTTTTCAATCACATGGTTGAAGTCACAAAGCCTAAAAGCTTGTTTTTTAATTATGAAATGAAAGATTCTACAGGGAACAAAACTGCACTAAACACCTTACTGAATATAAAATGCCTTTGAGTCAATCTTGACTCCTGGGTACTATGAGCAAGAACACTTAGCATTTTGGCAATGTTTTTTGGATATCTTGGCTCTCAGGAAATACACAACTTTCCATGAACCTATTATATTGATAGTTAAAAACTAAAATGCATTTATTTATTTATTTATTTATTTATTTATTTATTTATTTATTTTGTCGCATTTCTATGCCCACAAAACCAACTAAAACCTACTAAAATGTAGGTTTTAGTTGGTACAAAATTGCCTCGAAAATTGTCAGAATTGAATTACAACAATAGAAAACCAGAAGCAAAATATTTTTTTTTCATTGAAGGCAAGAGTATAAAGTGATGCTCAACTGAGATATTTCCAGGCCCTCAGCTTCTCTGCTTCCACTTATATAACACCCAATACTGAAAGGGAATCCATGTTTATTTCACAAAACAGTCACCCCAATGTGATTTAAATGATGGGCAAGTTCTTGTAAGCAAATATAGCAAACAAAATACAGAAATTGTATTTGGGCCTGAAAGGGAAAAAATGAGAACAAAACAGTATGTTAAGAGAAACATATGCAGGAACTGATGGGAAGATCTTTGTTGGTTTGCACCTGAACTTTTTTCATAGTAGGGTTAGACTTTTAAACAAATTTACTGGATTAAAGTTATCAACTCCTTGGAGAATTGAATCCAATTCTGTGACCTCCATCACTACACCACAGGAATATTTTATCATTTGATTTGTTTGCCCATGCATACTTTTGTATGATATGCAAAGGCATTTTTACATGATTAAACTATAGTCTTTGCTATACGATAGTAATGTTCTATTAACCACAAGAGTCTTCTTCAAATAGAGTGTGACTCCTGATGAATTGGGAACACATGTTCAGTTTTTCTGGTATGTCTACAAGAAGTGGTTTGCTATTGCTTTCTTAAATCTGTGTATATGCTTGTTTTAAACTTCTCAGTATAGTCCCTTTCCATTTCTAATTGAGCTGCTTCGCTTGTCAAAGCCAAATAAGCTTGGCCAAGTGTTGTTCTTTACTGAGATAGTTTTGCAAAATAGTGTACTGTTGCATAATTAAATCACAAGCAATGAAAATATTTGCTTACAAGTCACAACAGGTTCTTCGGATATTCATTTAGGTAGCAGGAGTTGTTGGAAACAAGCTTCCAGTATAACTAAAGTCCTTTAGACCTCTCAATTAAAATAAAAAATTGTACAAGAGACCAATTTATACCAGAAAGTCTTGCAAATTCTTCCTGAGTACAGAAATGAGGTTAACTGGCTGCTATGCTTGCGAAATAAAAAGGCTTGGCTGGTTTGATGTGGGGAAGACAGGCACGATGGGTGCACTTTGCTTATGTAAAGATTCATCCAGCGATTCCAGGCACGTTCGACGAGAATCCATTTTACATTTAAGGGAAAATTCGCCACCTGCTGCTTATGCACTGTCGGCTCTAAGCCAAATTATAGAAGAGGCGTAGGTTTAGCATCTGAGCGTTGAATTTCCAGCTACTGGTTATCGGACTTCATAGCGCCTTTCTTTTTCTGGGCAACAGAAGAGGATCCTACCTGACCTCAGTAGCGCCTGGGAAACAGGGTCCTCAAAACACGTGCCCGGGCAGACACGCGCATCAGTAGCCCGGAGGCAGGGCTGCGTGCCGGTTTGCAAAATCCTACACGCACTTCCCACCCTTCCGCTTTGACGTGCGAGGCGGCGGTGGGGTTCTCGGACGGGAAGATGGCAGCGCTGGCGGAGCCTCTAGGGCTGGAGAGAGGTAAGGATGGAGATGGCTTTGCCTCGGAACGGAGGTTGGCGTCGAATGTGCCTGGGGAACCGGAGAGAAATGGTAGGGCAGCCTGGAGCGAGGGAGGGGATTTGATCATAGCTGGAATCTAACAGCCCCGACTGGCGAGAGAGAGGACGGAGTATCTGCAGACTTCTGGGGAGGGCTGGTGACATAAGAGTCGCCGTGGGTTCGGCGGCAGAGTAGCATGGATGGGAAGGTGAGGACATGCGGTGCTCCCTGCTAGAATATGGTGGAAACTGCTGCTGGATTTCCTTTCTGGCCAGGGCCCCGGTCAAGAAGACCCGAGCCGGGTTCTCTTCGTCTCTCCCCTTCCTGTAGGAGGTAAAGAATCAGCGCCCCGGAACGGCGAAGCCAGAAGCCGTGGCTAGGTTACACTCTTCCTCCACTCGCCTTCAGTTCGGTCCCAATTGCCCTCTAGGACTCCCGGTTCTCTATTTCTTTTATTATTATATTATTTTTGTAGATGTGGCTCGAGCGGTCGAATTGCTGGAGAGGCTGCAACGCAGTGGGGAGGTGCCCCCCCAGAAATTGCAAGCCCTTCAGAGGGTGCTACAGAGCAAATTCTGCTGTGCCATTCGGGAGGTGAGACTGAGAAGTTTGTCCTATTTAAGTTGCCCCTCCTTCCTTCTGCTATCTTCCATATTTCTGTTTGTGTTTAACCTTTTCCCCCCACTTTAGGGATGAGCTTCTTTAGAAAGATGTTTGTGAGTAGGGGAGGCGGAGTTAAAGATGATGTGCCAGTTTTGCAAAATATATTTAATATAAGTGCTGACTGGTTTCTGCATTGTGCTTAGGCTGGGGTAAAAGATGGTTGGAAAATTTTGTTGAAATCTATTCTTCATCTTATTGCTTATGAACCAGGCCCATGTTAAGAGGCAGAATATATCTGATTTGTCTGGGTATAAATGGCTACATTACAAAACTCACAACTCTGAAGGTCCTCTCCTCCTTTCTCAGCACCCAGTCACAATTCTTCATCACCTCCTAACATGTAATTTCTGGTAATTGCACAGTTGGTGTAATGAATATCATGATAGGATTCTCCTTTCAATCCACCCCCACCACCATTTCAACCTTTTACTCTGTATTAGATTCTCCAAGAATTTTGTTTAATCTCTTCCTTTTCTGTCTGTTATTTCTGATTTTCTGATTCCTTTAGTCTCCTTTTTCCTTTTATTACCAATGGCACCTACCCTGGATCTTGAATTTTGCAGAGTCTTGCCATTGGAAAACAACCTCCTTATCCTCTCTTGTATTTCTGGACAGGTTTATGAGCAGCTGTATGACACTTTGGATATCTCGGGAAGTGCTGAGATCCGGGCACATGCTACTGCTAAGGTAATTCAACAAGCTTGTTATGGTGCTACTACTGATAGTACTGAAGAAGTCTGTATCGGGGTGGGTTCTACTTACCTTTACTACCGGTTCGCAGTGGGAGCGCGCATGCGCGTTTGCTTAACTCGTGCGTGCACACTTCTGCGCATTCGCAGATCGTTCATTATGATATCCAGGCAAGTGGGTGGAGCCTCCCGCCACTTTTACTACCGGTTCACAAGAACCGGACAGAACAGGGAGCAACCCACCACTGGTCTGTATCTGTGTTTTGCCCTCTGCAAATCTAGAAAAAAAACAACTCTTTAAAGTTGTTGCTGACAAGTGCCATAAGCACATCCCCTTCAAATCCGCATCTCTTCTCACCCTATTAACCTTTGATTTGCATTCTCTAATTTTCCAGAATGGTAAGCAATCCAGTGCTCTCCAGATACCCCATCCATTGATCTCCTTTTAAGGATTCAGGATCTACTAGGGTTGTGTAATGAATTGGATTTGAATGTACAAAAGTGTTTTGAGACATATGGGGGCAGTCAGTAATAAGTGTCTACCCTCCACAGCTGCAACACAACCTGAAATATGATGTATTTGATTTCAGACATGTGCTATGTGCCTACACCTAGTGGGTGTGGGTGGTCAGGAGTAATGCCAAAATTTTGCATTTTCTTCCAAAAGGAAATACATCTGGCATTAATATCTCTGTAAAAAAAACTGCTTATGACTTAATTTTTAAAGCATTTGGAATGCAAACAATGTTGTACCTGCTTTATATTATTGTTATTTTTTCCCTTTTGGTTTTCTAATCATTACTTCATTTTGTTCAGTATAATTAATATTTATTCATGCTTGGTCAAATATTTTGGGATTCATTAGAATGAAAGGTGGGTTAGGAATTTTTGAAACAATTATTTTAAACGCTGGGAGAATGTGGTGAACAAAATAAAATGATGGCTACCTATATATGTCATTGAATATCATAGAAGTAAGTCACTCAACCTGCTGGTATATGTATTATTTGGACTCAAGGCTAAAAACCTTTCAGTATGACTAAAGAAAAAATAGAAATATACCATACCTGTTGTGGAAAACAGTCTCACATTCCTTAAAACTTCTGAAATGGAAAGGGATACAAAGTATCCCCTTTATAGTCACTTATTTATAGGCTCCCCTGCTCTTCTATCAAAAACATTCTCTGAGGCGTTACATAAAATCAATAAAAAAAATTCCTAAAATAAGTGTCTTTCTGATTCAAAATTAAGGTATATGACTGAGCAATGACTGTAGGATGAGAAATAAAAGTTTTTTAAAATATCAAATTGATACAAATTGATTATCCATCATACTGACTTTTTAATGTTACAGTAAATGAATGCTTTGCCTTTTTCCTAACATTTGGTAAACTGTTACCTAATACTTGTGATTTATAAATTCTCTCTTTTTTTTTTCCTTTGTGTTTCTTCCTTGCTTCCTTGCTTTCTGGTCCTCCTCCTCCTCCGCTTTCTGGTTCTCCTGAAAAATAAAATAAAGCAGATATGGTGGCAGCAACCATGCAATTAAAACCTCACTGCTTTTTAAAGTATATTGCACTTGCGACACACATTAAAAAGAAGGCAGAGCTTTGATTGTGTGATTGCAGCTGCCACCTTCACTCTTCCTACCATACCTCTATATTTGAAGCAAAGGGAATTGGGAGGAAAAGGAAAATGAAGTTAGAAGTTTACACAGGTTACATGTGTGGAAGAAACTCTTATAGTTGCTACTTGGTATTGATTTTCTTTTCAGAATTTAAGCTCCCTTTTTGTTTTTAAACAAATTTCCAAAACCAACATATGTAGAACAATTTTAATTCATCTAATTTGGATTAAGTACAAAAGGAGTTATTGGAAATAAAGAATTGAAAGAAACTATGTAATTTCAATATAGACTGAAAAATGAATGGAGCTGGGTAGCCTAGCCTAAAACAGGAATGGCCATGTTTTAGATTTATTATCTCTACAATATTTGTCATTAGATGCTCAATTTCCACTAACAGTCATGCTGCAAAGCTATGTGCCAAATTGTGATAACAGGACATAAAAGTAACATCAAATACAATTTCTACCCAGAAATTTGTTTACAGTATCAGAACTAGAATTTCTTTAAAGTTTGTACTGTTTGGTATGTTGTGATCGTTGACTTGGAGTCTCCTGGTCTTTCCTTTGTGTATGCAGGCAACAGTGGCGGCCTTTGCAGCTAGTGAGGGCCACGCGCACCCCCGGGTGGTGGAACTGCCAAAGACAGATGAGGGCCTAGGCTTTAACATCATGGGGGGCAAGGAGCAAAACTCTCCCATCTATATTTCTCGCATCATCCCAGGAGGTGTTGCTGATCGCCATGGTGGGCTGAAGCGTGGAGATCAACTGCTGTCTGTCAATGGTGTGGTAGGTATTGTGTGAGGGGAGACATGTGACCTTCTATGTCTGTATGGCAAAGATGTTGAGATGTGCATGGTATTTTTGGGCACTGATTGACAACTTCCTGATTCCGGTGAAGAACAAGTGTGTTAGGCAGGCACAAAATATCTTTCAGCAAATAGTGGGGAAGAATCTTTTGCAGAGTTGAGGGGAAGACAGAAAAGATTGGCTAACCTTGAATTACTGATGTAGAGTAAGAGGCTGAAGGGTGATTTTTCCTAAACGTTCACATGGTTTTATCCAGTAATATCTACAACAAGTGCCTTAGTTTGGCAAAATTCCTGTCAATAGGTGAAATAGCAATAAACATACCCCTCTGCATCATTTCTGGTTCTTGTGTCTGACAAATGGAGAGGTGTGTACCTTCTGCCAGTCTTATCTAGTATCAGGCAGCCTGGGAATAGGGAAATTTTAATTTACTATCATTCTTCCAGAATTGCTCCAGGCCACTGTGGAAAACGATAAGCTTCCATTTTAATTTCACATAATACTTTGGCATAATGCTTCATTGAGCAAACAGAAAGGCAACTCTCCCAGATCCAGCTTCTCTTCACCCTTAGAACATTGGAAAAAATACTTAAAGCTCAGAATAGGCATGGGGTATTGGGATTTGCTGTGCTGAAAAGTGCTCGAAGTGTCCTCTGCTTACACTAGGCTTGGGATTTAATAGGCTGGTTAAGGATTTGAGAGCATTTGAATGAGCAAAACCTCCATTTTGGATAAATAACTTAAAAGTTACTGTATTTTTAGCAATTATTAAAGTTTATAGCAATTTAAGCATGAAAATAATTTATGACATGAAATAAATCTACATACTGATTATGTAAGACATCAGTCTGTATTACAGGATATGTGGTAGCTTAGATAATCCTCTGTTCTGTCTTCCCTTAAACTGGCATTCTCCTAAACCTAAGCTGGTACAATTCTCTGAACTACAGTCCCAATATCTAGAGGGCATCCATTGTAGGAGAAGCTATACATTAACTGCAAATCTTTATGAAGCCGAAATAAAATAATGCATACTCTTAATAGAATGCATTCATTGGGATATGGATCCAAAAACATCTTTTTCTGAAAAGAGACACTACTATAAGTTGTAGCAGAACCTTCCCTCATAAATTGCAGCTCAGTGATGAGGACCATGCTCATTACCAAAGAAATACAGGCCAAATATGGAAAAAATGGTTTGAATGATCTTTTTAGAGGTATTATTGCCTGGAAATCTGAATGTCCACACTCACTTCTCCGTAGCATTTTTGTCTGAGGTACCACTTGCATAAATTTGTAGTTTAAGGTAGAAAATGTGGCAGTTCCTCACCAACCCCACCAGTGATGATAGGGTGGGACAAGAGTTGTCTTTTTCTGTGGGCAGGATTATAAATGGAATAGCCCCCCTCCCCACCTCCCGATGACCCTGCCTTTTTGTCTCCCATCTTTTAGAGCGTGGAGGGTGAGCAACATGAACGGGCAGTGGAACTTCTGAAAGCAGCACAAGGCACAGTGAAACTGGTTGTGCGCTACACACCCAAAGTACTTGAAGAGATGGAGGCACGCTTTGAGAAGATGAGGACAGCACGGCGCCGGCAGCAGCACAACAGTTACTCGTAAGAATAGACTCTGAAATGGGTATTGAGAATTACAGGTACCCAGCAGTGAAGGGGGAGGAAGTTCCAGAGGCCCAGCATTATAACAGAGAAGGCTCTTCCATTGGTCAGAGTTCCTTGACTGACGGGATCTTCAACAGGCCTCCTTTGCCAGTATGAGTAGGGTGGGCTTGTCTTAGAGGAACAAGACAGTTCATCAGGTAGTCTAGACCTATGCCATGGAGGGCTTTAAAGGTCACTTGAACTGCACATGGAAACAAGTGGCAGCTATGCTGCTTGTGAAGCAGTGGTGTAACATGGATCATTCTACAGGCCCCAAAGACTGCTTATGATGCTGCACCTTACATCAATTGAAGCTTCCAAATGCATTTCAAAAGTTGCCCGAGGTAAAGTTCATTGCATTAATCCAGATTAGAAATGACTAGGGCTTGAGTGACCAAGTCCATGGAGTCCCGATTCAGAGCTATCTGGACTATTGAGGATCTGGATAGCTATTGAGCTATCCAGATCCTATCCAGGAGCCTGGATAGCTCAACAGACTAAGCACTGTAATTCAACACCAGCTGTCTGCAATTAAAGTAAGATCGAATCTCGCCAGGCTCAAGGTTGACTCAGTCTTCCATCCTTTCTAAGGTAGGTAAATTGAGGACCCAGTTTGTGGGGGCACTAAGCTGACTTTGTATAAAAATATACAAAAGTATGAAGGCTATTGCTTAATGCACTGTAAGCCGCCCTGAGTCTCCGGAGAAGGACGGCATATAAATCAAATTAAAAAAAAAAAAAGATCACAGTTGGTGGATTGGTCAAAGCTGTGCAAACACTCTTCTAAACACAGCCGCCACCTGATCTTCAAGCAGAAGTTGCAAGTTCAGGAGAACTCCTAACTGGTTTAGGGGTTGCGAACTGGATTTGAATGGGGTACTGCAACTCCGTCCAGAATTAAAGATGCCGAAGACCTGCATCTGGAAGTCCCATGCACACAAAGCCACCATCTTGCCATGGTTCAGCCATAACACGTCCCCCATCCAGACCCCTACAGCTTCCAAGCAGCGTAGAGCAGGGGTGTCAAACTCAAGGACTGGGGGCCAGATCCGGCCTGCGAGATGCTTAGATCTGGCCTGGGGGGCCACCCTGGAAACAGTGAAGCACCAGCCCGTGGTGTCTCTGCCAGCGAAAATGGAGTTTAGGAGGGCCATATGCGGCCTTTCCAAGCTCCGTTTTCACTGGCAGAGGGTTGCAGGAGGCTGTCACATTTTCTCTGGCACAGTGCTCAGGCCACCACAGGCACCCCTGACAGGAGTGATGTTGAGCTGGCCATGCCCACTCCACTCCCCCGAGGTCAAACACAACCCTGATGCAGCCCTCATTGAAATTGAATTTGACACCCCTGCCGTAGAGCTACCCTTATCAACAGGTTACCAGATGGATATATAAAGTTGAGTATCATCAGCTTATTGATGATATTTCAATCCATGGTGATGGATGATCTCACCCAGCGGCTTCGTATAGATGTCAAAAATGAGTGCAGTGAGTACCGAGCCCTGTGGTAAGAGAGGCTGGATCTCTCGCTCCCTATCAATACTGATTGAGACCAAACTTGGAGAAAGGAGTTCAACCAGCACAAAAGTATGTTGCCAAGTCCTAAGCAGGCCCACAGGATATCCTGGTCAATGGTTTTGAAGGCTGCTGAGAGGTCAAAGAGAGCCAGGATGATTGAACTACCCCCATCCTGCTCTCGCCAGAATTCATTCACATGTGTCATCAATGCAGTCTCTCTCTGAATAGCTGGGCCTGAAATCGGACTGAAATGCTGAGCATTGTTTTCAGAGGTTCTTCTTGATACAGAGGTTGTTATTTGGGAGCACATTTCCTCTTTTCAATTAATTCAATTGGAACCATGATTCGGGTTGGGATTGTAATACAAGATGGGGAATGGAGCCTATTTGCTCCAAGCCAGCATCTGATTTAAGTTATCCCTTCTTTACATATCTGTGATTTTTTAAAAAACAAACCTGACACACTGTTGCCAATTTTGCCAATTGTGTGTCTAGTTTGGCTCTCAGTGGCATTATCAGCCAAGCATTCAGCTGGGGACTAAAACAGATTCTCTGCAATCCAAATGCTGTAATCGCTTAAATCCGTGTTTCTCTGCAACTTTTAAGAGTGTAGGCTTCAATTCCCCAAATCCCCTAGCTAGCCTGCTGGGTGGGGAATTCTGGGAGTTGAATGTATGTTAAAATTTGTTGAGATGGAGAAACACTGATTTAAGCCACAGTGAATAAATCTAGCTTCAAGTTCCAGCAAATCTGAAGTGTGGGTTTTCATATATTCTGACCATTAGATATTCTTGTGAAAATCTAAATTTTTGACTCAGTCTTGAGAATTTTGGCTGTAAATTTCAGATATCTATTTGCTTAGAGACTTCTGAAGCTGGTGCTTGATACTTCCAAGTATTACCTTGTCATTGCTGCAGAATTGAAGGGGCTGGGCTAGGTATATGGAGGACCAGATGTTTGAGTCCATCAAATTTATATGCTCTGAATAGGGAGCACTTAATATTGGTTCCTGCTTGACTATACATAGAACCCATACCATGTTGCTGTCACAAATTTGGGGTTTTTTTCTCTTTCATTCCTGCAGATCCTTGGAGTCCCGGGGATAAATTTGCACAAGAATTAATTGGGCAGCTGATGAACCGACCATCCTCCCTATCCTTTGCAATGGTCTTATCTGTAGAGCGGAGACATATTTATCTAGTCCCCTTCCCTGAGTTGGGAGGTGGGCTTCAGTGTACAGTATTTATTCTTTACATTCCTCTTATTTAAAAATATGTTTGGTGTAAACTATTCTATATGTTTGTGCAACACCTTATCCTTTGTGAAGCTGCAGACAAAAGCTACAAAACTACCAAAAGAATCATCCAAGCCTCTGATATATAGAGCTATGAAAGAAAAATATACTCTTCCATGAGAAAAACATTAGAGGTGCTTTCACCACTATAGGCAAAGAAACTCCATTTATCCAATTTTCCCCCAGTTCCCAACACCATTGCTGCACTTTTGGTATTGGAAAGGTTTTAAATGTTAAATAAGCAGCCCTAATGAGACGTAATTCTAGATAAAGCATTAGACGTATTCTGTATTCATAACATTGTTAGGTGTTCATATTGTTCTTTCAGTCTCGCTTCCATGACAAGGTGATTGTGACGAAAAAATAACAAACGTGTATGTTTGGTGCACTGATTGGGAGAGGCTGATAGTAACAATAGCAACAACTTGGGAGGGAGAAGATAATCTGAGATCATTAAGATGATATAGTTAATCGAAACAATTTTCTTTAGTCTGCATTAGAACATGATACAGCATTTACAGGAGACAAATATGGGGAACACCTGTTTCAGCCCACTTGATTGTCCCTCGGTCTCCTGGTCTATAAAATAAAGATACAATTGCCCAGGATCTAAAAGATGTGGAGTAAAATTCCATGGAGGAAGGAATTACAGAGTATTTCAGAAATGCAAAATACTACAGGTATATGCATAAATGTATTCCATTGTGGTATGAAAAAGCAGAGAAGTTGCCACTCCTCCAGTGACATCAGAATAGAATATATAGTATGTTTCTTTTTATCAGCTGTTTCCAGCAGGGTTTCTCATCCTTGGGCAGCTTGAAGATGTGTGGATGTCAACTCCCAGAATTCCCTAGCCAAAATGTTATTCTAATCTGGTATTTATCTGGAAGCAAATTTCTTGGGGACCACAAGCAAGATGTAAGTGGTAACTTTTTATTTTTTTATCCCTTTGTGTCACCCCACTTTTCAGTGCCTCCAGTTTATTTTCTTCCTTTGACCCCCTCCTTTCTACCTCCCCAGTTGGTGGCCAAAGGAAAGGAACATTCTTCTCAACAGCAGCATGAACAAGGTGCTTGCAGAGAGCTTTTTTATCAGGTTGAGCGCTGGAGATTTTCTGCCCCTCTTCCTTTTTCATGACAGAGCAGCAAAGCATGGAGCAAGGGGGAAATAGTGTAGGAGGGAATGCGGTAGTTTTTATCTGTCTACCAGCAGGGGGGGATATTACTACAGTGATGAGCTAAAAACCATCCTAGTTTTATTCAGCAAGCTAGATTGGATTCTACAACACACACACACAATCGAGTTCTTATCCATTGTCTCTGCTTGCACTATCGAACACCAAGCCAATAAATTAAGCCATGAAAAACTAACCAAGAGGAACACTAATCAAGCTGCATGTGTAAATGCAACTGCTAGATCTTTAACTCACCTGGGTCAAGCAGGTGTACCAACATAATCAAATAATTTTAGGCTGAGATAGTCATTGCTGGGAAGTTGGCATGAAATAACTGCCAAAATAACTTATTGGGGGCAATAAGCTGACTTTGTATAAATATACAAAAGAATGAAGCCGCCCTGAGTCTCCGGAGAAGGGCGGCATATAAATCAAAATTTTTTAAAAAAATTGATCAAGAGTCAAAGCCTTTAAATGGTCATGAAATGCAATAGGGAAGGGCTGAGGCAGAGTCAGTGTACTGGCATGACCAAGACCTCTGATTCACTCTGATTTTTATGGAGGAGCATGTGACAGGTGTGGTCGTCAACTCCACTTATGTGATCCTTGGCCCAGTACAGGTAGTCCTCAACTTAAACCATTTGTTTACTGACAGTTTGGAGTTACAGTTGTTCTAAAAAAGAGGCACGATTGGCCCTTGTGTCTATGACTGTTGTAGCATTTCTGAATTCAGGTGATCAAAATTTGGGTGCTTGACAACTGGCATGAATTTACAATGGTTGCAATGTCCCAGGATCATGTGATCACCATTTGTGACCTTCCCAGTCAGCTTCCAATAAGCAAAGACAAAGGCCGGTGGAGGTGGGGAGAGCAGATTTGCTTAACAGTCACATTTCACCCAACACCTACAATGATTTGCTTAACCACTATGGGGAAAAAGGTCATAAAATTGGGTCTGAGTCACTTAACAATCTAACCTTTGTTTAGCAACAGAAAGTCTGATCCCAATTATGGTTGTAAATTGAGGCATGCCTGTACTGCTGCCACAACAACACCTACTTATTTGGCTGCCAAACCTTGGTTGTGTATTCACAGATTTTTAGCAGTGCAGTTTTTTTCTCTTTTGTCCAAGATAAGCCCATTTCTTATCAACATGGAAAATAACTAAAAGAGTCCTAGCCCAGTACATGGCTTGGCAGCTTTTTAACTCAAAATGCAATATATAACAGAGGTCTCCAAACTTTCTTAGTTTATGGCATCCTTTGTGGCTTTGTAATTTTTTCATAATGCTCAGAGGCCAAAACTGTGGACTATCTTAAACTAATAGTTTGCATGCTGTCTGACAGATGTCAAATATCACTGTGTTTTCCTTAAAAATTAAAATATTCCATGGTGCCCTTGTGACTTCGTTGCCGCATCCTAGGATAGAGATAAAGTTCAGACCTAACCTTATATTTAATTCTAGAGGAATTCTGCTTCTAAAAAATAAATCTCAAAACTTTGGGAGAAGTTGAAACTGTATTCCAATAAATCTGTTTGCATTCTTCAAAAGCCCTGTGAGGAAAAAAAAAATGATGTTCGATCTAATTTTGGAATTTCATAACAATGTACGAAGGAAGGACTGACATCACCAAAAATGAATTGATGCGGGGGGGTGAGGGGGCGTATTTCTGATAGAAATCCTTTAGATCCTTACTCTGCATGCAGTGGTTTCCTCATGCTGGTGTTAGTTGTGTTGTTCTTCCCTGCCCTGTTGAGGATATGGTTCATATGCAAGCAGCATGATCAGAAGAAGTAGGCATAGTTTTCAGTATGTTGGCTAAGAACTTAAGCAATCACTAGAAAGCTTGATATTTAAAAGTTTTGAACTTGTAAAAATACTTGTTATCATATTGTACCTTTGGTAGGCAATTAAGTCCCAGGAAATGTAGAGGACTCCTGGACATTAGTACTGTGTACCTCATTATTTAACTCTTTCCTCTCAGGGGCTATCCTAATGAAACCTCCACTACTAAAAGTGCATTGGTTGGGAATACCAAGAGTGTGCTTCCTCACCGTCCAATCAAATAATAGCTTTGGCTCTTTTTTTGGGGGGGGAGGTAGAGAGTGGGGAGGCACTAACACTCTGTTCTTGCTAATTATCTGTCTACCAGTTGATGCTATTTGTGCTTTTTAAATCCTTGTTTTATCCAAAGATGCACTTAATTAGTTTAGTCCTGACAAGGTTTCATGAGCACTTGATTATTTAAAACCTCACCCAGAATTAGGCTACGGCTGATGTTTAATTATTATAGCCTGCCCTATGTTAGCATAATAAGCATCACTAAGAAGGATTCAGAATGCAAAGAGGCACTTTAGGGTTACTGTCTTTTAAGATCTCCATCTGCCTATGGGGCTTGTATTTATTATATCATTATATGGCTTGTCTTTAAATCTTCCTTTGTCCTGTCCTATTTGGGAAGAGCTCTTCTTCACACTGTTGTTGACACTGGTACTTGTCAACAACCTCACCATAGAGCTGCTTGCAAGTAACCACCTTATTGTCATTGTCCCTGACAGACATACTGTACATTAAATTAAAAAAGGACGAGGAAATTATTTGGCTGGAACACACTACGACCTGACCCTAAGGATCACCTGATAACCGAATTAGGTTGTCTTTGTCATTGTTGGAGTGAAGAGGTGCCAGAGATCTTTGTGAAATTGCAACAAATTAAAGATGTGGTGTAAATACATTAGTAAATGAAGCATGGTATTTTAAGAGATCTGGCTTGAAATGGAGTATAGCAATATTTCTGGCATCTTTTCTCCTCATGTTGAAAATATTGTGGAGGCAAGTGTTGGCATGCCAACTAGAGAATTATGATACAAATGTATGTACCAATGCTTGAGAAGCAACTTATGTCCAGGGCTTTGTCTGGTCAAAGTAAGGTAAAATTATTGTCATTTACATAGAAATATACTCTTGTGTTACATTACAGGCTGGTCAATTCTTCTACAGCAGGAAGGCAAGTGAACAGAAAAAATGAAAATGAAATCTAAGAAAATGAAATTCTGTCTCTATGGGAGCATGACATAAGTGTGACACGTGGTGATGTTCCTAGAAGTAAGGCTAGAAATGGGTGACTTATTGTACTAGTTGTATTACACGAGAGTTTTGTAATGAACTGCATGTAGAGATGTGATAGCAGTGGCTTGTGTTCCTGTTGGTTCCCACTTATTTTACTCCAGATAAATCCATATACCATTTATTTGCCAGGAAGAAAGTAAGTGGCAACTCCTTTCTGCAAGTGGCTTGATGTGTCAGGGAGATGTGTGTTCTCATTGTGAGCACCAAAGGTTCATTAAGAATTTAAAATTGTTCTGTATAGTAAGCTCAGAGATTTAGGAGAAAGTGAAAAGAAAGGAGAAGGACTGAAGATTCCTTTTTTGAATAGGTTGATTTCAGACACCTTCAGCTCAAGAACAATAATTACTCTCTCAGTGAGGCTATCACTTAAATACACATTTACAGAACATGTCTACCCAGTCCAGATCTCACTCCTTAAAACAGCATATTGCAACAAGTTTCCCTGTCCTCATTTTGCTATTGATTTTAGCCCACTGGCTGTTGGTTGAAGCTTTGCCCTTAACTTTAAAGGGGAAAACACAAAAGACCAGAACACCAAAATAGGGACCATTATGAAAACTTACCTGAAAGGGAAATCCACCCTCCTGTTTGGCTCCTTAATGTTTGAATTTCATACAGGCTTCTGTATTCTCTGCCCATTATCAATCATCTGGGATTGACAGGTCAGCTACCTTTCCTTTACGTTATGAATTCAAGCCCTTGAGTTAATTGAGAAAAAATATATAATAAAATTAGCGTTGAGTAAATGCATCCTGTATTCACAGAATTGCTTCTAAATCTGGATATGTTAAGACGTTACATAGTTGGGGATTTGGTGGGCCTTTTTCCCCCACCAAAAACTACAAATACGATCAATTGAAAAATATCAGATAGCCTTTTGCCCATGTTAAAGGAAGTTTTTAAGGCATGGCTTGCCTGATCATGAGTGTTTTGGTTGTAAGTTTCAAAGGAGACATACCCTCTTTTCCAACTATTTAGAGCTCTGGTGAGATCATGGCTGCAGCAATGTAGTCAGACAGTTTTTATACCTATGTTTTCCTTGGGGATTGTTTTTCAAGAACCACTGCAATCTGGGTTGCTGTTTGGGAAACACTGTCTTGAATTTTAAAGCCATTGAATGGGCTTTCTATTAGATAGTGATATATTTACATCAATATAAATGTTTGCCTCACACTGACTTGTGATTGTGTGTGTGCATACATGCCTACATACCGGTAGTTAACATAATGGTTAAGATGTTAAACTGAGACCCCCAGTTTGAGTTCAGACTTATTCCTCTGAATTCACCAGTGTGACTTTGGTCTAACCCTCTTCACAGAGCGGAAATAAATAAATACGAAATAAAATGAGAGGAAGCCCCCCAGGTATACCATGTTGAATTCTCAGAGAAAGGCAAGATAGTGCAATTTAATAAATAAATAATGTCTTATGCATGCAGTGGAAGTTTTCAATGGTATATATACCTGTCAGGATGATCTAATGTTAGCGTTTGCCCAGCAACAAAAAGTTTATAAAATTTATAAACTTGATAAAATTTTGCCCCATCATTTCTGCCAGAAATCAATCCAGTTTGAACAATTCAATCCAAATATGCCATTTCATCATGAACACAGCTCAAACTGCTAGAAGTAGGATCTTAACAATACAATGAATTTTAACATAAGAGAAAAATAACTGTATTTTTTTTTACTACTTACCATCTATTTTATATATGCTGTATCTGTTAGAGAATTTTTTTTAAAAAAATTATCCCTTCAGAAGAACATTAAGCACGAAACAATAATGAGAACAAAAGAAAATCCTATAAATATGCCCAGATGATAAAATCAGTTAAACAAGTAACTGAGGCTACTTTAAAAATTAAGATAAAAGCATCTAACAAAACAGAAGCAATCTTCCAAACCAGGAGAAGAAACAATTCATTTTCATCCAAGTCTGAAAGGATTAAGGGCTCAAGTAGCTACCACAGAGAAGGTGCCATTCTTAAAGGCCCCTTTTTATAGGCCATTAATCCTCCAAGTGATGTTCATGTTGTGTGCTTCTCATTTTCTTGAGCAATAAGAAATTTCAGAAGCAACAATAATAGGCTGATTTTCTTTTGGATGGGAGAGAGAAGACCAGAGGCTTACGCCTGTCTAGTTGATTTATGATCATGGCACAAACAGCAGAAGCAGAGGTTAGCAGGTACTCCTAAAAGGCAAAATATCAGTGGAAAATAATTTGGCAATGAGCTCTCCTAAACTGCACACTGATCAGAACTCCTATCTCTGTGCCTCTAAAAGAACTGCCAATTGCATATTTCACACAGATTGGCTCACAATGTATACTAAAGCTAAATTTAAATTCAAGGTAATAAAACAAAATTATTCTCATACCATGGTATGTCTAAATACATGGATATGGTTTAACCTATAATTTGATTCACCAACACATTAAGGCAATGGCTGTGTCCTCAGAATTCCAGTTTAGCCTAGCCTTGTGGGTCACCTGGGTCTGGTTGCAAAAATCCTTGCAAGCATCTCTATAATGAGCATCTTCTCCAAACTGGTACCCTCCAGATGTATGTTGAATAACTCCCAGAACTCCCTACTCCATGCTCTATAGAAATGTTGAATGAGCACTAGTATCACCTCCAACCAACATAGCCAACCATGTTTTTGATTGTATAATGGGTCTTTAATTTTATATAAGATTTTCTGCAGAAAAGCTCAGGCTCTCAGAAAAACTGAGATACTTGGCTTTAATAGCCTTCCTCTCTCAATTTACCTACTGGTCTTCAAAGGCCAATCCACATTTTCTGCTTGACCCATTGTCAGTATGGGTAACTCCTCAGCTCTTGAGTGCAGAAACATACAGGTAATCCTCAATTTATAAAAGTTTGCTTCGTGACCATTCTAAGTTACAACGGCACTGAAAAAAGTAACTCATGACCATTTTTCACACTTACGACCATTGCAGCATCCCCATGATCACTTGATTTATATTTGGATGCTTGACAACTGACTCACATTTATGACGGTTGCTGTGTCCTGGGGTCATTGATCCCCTTTTGCAACCTTTTGACAAGCAAGGTCAGTGAGGAAACCAGATTCACTTAACAACCATGTTACTAATTTATCAACTGCAATGATTACTTAACAAATGTGGCAAGAAAAGTTCTAAAATGGGGCAAAATTCACTTAACAATTTTCTCAGTTAGCAACATAAATTTTGGGCTCAATTATGGTCATAAGTTGAGGACTACCTGTTCTTCCCACTCCCAGCTCATTGCAAGTGCACTCTTCTCCTGTATTTTCCAGATCTGATAATAGAAACAGCTGTTTTCCAACCTGAGTTATCTTAAGTCCTTCAGCATACCTTGTATCATGAACTTTGTTCAATTCTAGAATAACAACATAGTTCTGATTTATCTCTATGGTCTGGTCTGCTTCCTTCCTTCTTTTGGCTGGGCAATATGGCTATATAGTCTCCTCTAGGCAACAGTTTATTTTTTGTTTCGTTTGGAATAATATCTTATAATTGATCTAACAATGACCCATTAAGTCCTATCCTGAGCCCTGGAAGCTCGGGCTCCACTCAGTCCTTACTTCTCCCTGTAAGTACTGGTTCCATTTCTGTTCAGGTTTAGCAAAGCCTGCTTCCCTTGCTTTCCCATTGCCTTTATTTTATATTTGTTAATATCTCTAAGTTTTAATTTGGGAACATTTCTACTCTATTTTTATTAAGCTGACCTATCAGTTCTTCCTTGTTTCACATTTTTCATGGACCTACCAAAGTGAAAGAACAACTTGTTCCTACTGCTTTAGTTATCATAGCAATAGTACCATGGTACCATAAGGAAAAAAAGAAAAAAAAGGGTTTGTTATAGAGTCCAACAAAATATGTGGGAAAAGAGGTGTAAAGAAGTGTTTGTGAAGATCTGGAAAAGCAAAAGAAAGGCATGGAGATTGTGAGGAGAAAATAAGTCCCTAAAAAGAAAACAAAAGATTTTGGTAGCTTCTCCATACAGGACCAAACAAGATACGATTGACTTCCCTGCAGAGAGGGAATGGGAAAGAAGCAGGGGAATGACCAATCAGGTCTTGTGGTGGCTTTAGACCAGATTGGGCACCAGCCCAACCCCACTGCCAACTCATTGCAATTCGCACGGGAATTTCTGAAGTTGGCTTAAGAAACAGATGGATGCAGTATGGGAGTCCTCCAGCAGCTTAGGATGTAGTGCAGAATGGCAGGAAGAATCAAAAAGACCATTGACCATTTGGTTTGATAGATTTCAGGTTCTGAATAGGCTGTTAAACTGAAACACCCTCCCCTCCCGCATTCTGTAAATTTTCCTGCTTTCATCTGCACCACTCCCACCCCAAGAAAGATCATGGCAATACAACAAGTCTGAGCTGGTTCTGTGGAAGCTGCATCACTTGAAAATGACAACTTAGGCATTTGAATGTCCAGCACCACACCCCTTGCTTTCATTCATATTCTAAACCTCACTTACTTCCTAGACCAAAGAAGACAGCAGAAGTCAAATTCTGTTCTGCCCTGGGTTTCCACTTAGATATTGAAATCTCACATCAGAGGAAAAAAATCCAAACCAGAATGAAGACTGCTCCCTGCCCAGCAGCTGCATGACTCACCTCTTCTGTCCTTCCCAAGTTGGTTGAACCAGTTGGGTTGCTCTTTATAGACTTCTCCATTAGTAGGAATGGTGAGAAGGGAGGAGCCATGGAGATCTTAATGGGGATCTTACAGAAAAGCTTTTGAATTTTTGCTGAGCTCAGTTGAGTTTCTGCTCCTCTGTATCACAGCTTTAGCATGCTGCCTTTTTATTTGTACTACAGTAGCTTTTTAAAAAAATAGGTTTTGTATGAATCAGAATGCAGGAATCTCATGGACGTCTTACAATAGGCTTTGATATTCAAATCCAGCATTAGGTTTGGCAGGGATAGTGTGGATGGGGATTTATCTGTTTATTAAATTGACAAGACAGCACTTATCAATCCCAAAGATTAATTCATTAATAAGGAAAAAAATTACAATTGTGTCAAATTCTATGCTACATTGAATTCTGACTTTTAGAGGATTAGATCCAGGTAATCCTTGATTTACAACCACATTGGACAGAATTATTGTTATTAAGCAAGGTGGTTGTTAAATGACTCATGCCCGATTTTGATCATGTGACCCTAAGGATGTTATGACAATTATAGGCAACTTTTTCAGTGCCATTGTAACTGTGAACAGTCGTTAAATGAATGGTTGTAAGTTGAGGAGTAACTGTACTTGCAAGAACTGTGATAAAGCCATAAAAAGTTAGACCACCACCTGATCTTCTGGGATTTTTTTTTTACATGAAAGAAGAAAAATATATTCAAATATTCTTTGAGCACAGTTCAAATACTGGTGACTTTGTGGATAGAGACATGTAGTTTTCTCAACCACATGACATGATTTGTTCCCCAATATGTTGTTTTTTTTATTGGCCTAAACCCTACAACTATCTGGTAGTCTTTCTTCCAAATACAAAGGCAGCCCATTCCTGTTTCAGTCAGCCAGGGCCTTAATCTTTATTTATACCAGAAATACAATATATAAAATGTCGTCTATTAGATACAAATAGAATAGAATAAAAAGAATAGAATAGAATAAAATACTGTATTCTATATATAGAATTTATATAGAATAGAATGGTTTATATAGAGAATAGAATAGATGGGTTGAGAATAGAAGGGGAACTCATCAAACTTGCAGACAACACCAACCTGGTAGGAATAGCTAACCCCAGAAGATAGGTTCAAGATCTCAATAGACCTGAACACTAAAATGGAATTCAATGTAGAGAAAAATAAGGTTTTACAATTAGGCAAGAAAAATCAAATGTACAGGTACAAATTAGGTGAAACTTAATAGCAGTAAATGAGATATTTCTTGGAGTCTAGTGGACAGTCATTTAAATATGTGCCAGCAGTGTGTGCAGCAGTTGCCAAAAAAGCTAATGCAATCCTAGGCTTTATTAACAGGGATAGACTCAAGATCACATGAAATGTTACTTCCACTTTATAATGGCTTGGTAAGACCACGATTGGCACAATATAAAAAAGATGTTGAGACTCTGGAAAGAGTGCAGAGAAGAGCAACAAAGATGACTAAGGGCTGGAGGCTAAAACATGAAGAACAGTTGAAGGAATTGGCTAAGTGTCTAGTGAAAAGAAAGACTGGGTTGACATGATAGCAGTGTTTCAATATCTGAGGGGCTGCCACAAAGAAGAGGGGGTCAATGTATTTTCCAAAGCACCAGAAGCAAGATAAGAAGTAATGGATGGAAAGTAAACAAGGAGAGGACCAACCTAGAGCTAAGGAGAAATTTCCTGTGTGTGCATGTGTGTGATTATTTATATATCTCCATAAAGTTCAACATAATATAAAAATAATGATATAAATAGTACAAATAATATCTCCAGGATCAATACTTTCTTCAGTCATAACTGGGATGAATAGAATAAATAGAGGCACAGAATAAACCAATGTGGTCTGACATAAAAAATGACAAATACCGGTAAGCTTTGTACTTTCATTTTTTGCTTTTTCTGTCCGACCAGGGCAAAAATCCAGGAATAAGTCTTCCAAATAAATATTTAAGAAATATGAAATCTAATTTCAGAAGACACAAAAGCAAGGAGTTGCCAATTTATATATTCCTCATCTGAGATTAAATTAAAGGTGAAAGGCTGTGGTAAGACTTATTGAAGTGATGGCACATTGAAAAAGATGGTCTATATGTTAAATGAGACAGTTGAACTTTAAAGGGTCTTTATTACCTTTCAGAATGCAGTTTTCCCAAGATCTAAAATTTAGAGTTCAGTTCTGAAATTCTTCTAAAAGTATGTGAAACCCTAAAGATATTTTGAGGCCCCATCTAATTGTGTTTTGTTTTTTTGCTAAGAACTATGTTGGGTATTGATGAGACAGCATAAATGGGGTACCATTGGGAGTAGAAAACTTAAAGGAACTGAATTCACCAGTGGGAGATTTAGTTCATTTAGTTTAGCTGAACAAAGTATTTGAAATTGGCACATCCTGTTATTTTTCTTCCCATGCAACAAAACGGTTTTTTGGTTTAGATATTATAATCCTTTTATCTTATGCTTTGTCAACAAAATTTGTTTGGAATATAGTTTGTTATATGATCTGTTCAACTGTGGGCAGATGGCTTTGTTTGTTTTTAACCTTTGCAAGCTTTAACACTTTGGGATCAACATTCTAAAAAGTCAATTAAAATTATATCTTTTTAATGAGAAATTAAAGTAAGTCTACCCCTTTGCACATTCACACTGCTTCCAAATACAATGATGCATTTTCTTTATCTCACTATCTGATGTTGTTCACATCAAACTTCCCAGGTAACTTCAAGATGAAAGAGTGGAAATGCCTCATCCTCCAGTCAACTACTTCCTCAGAGATTCTGGTTTAAGTAGCCCACATAATTTTTGATCGATTAGATCTTTAACTCTTTTCCTTTTTATTGTTCTCCCTTTCTTTTAGCATTCCCTGTGTGACACCCACAATTTCCTGGTACCTCCCAAACTAGCCTTTTGGTACTATGACACACCCTGCTCAGCTGGCAGTGAGGTTCTCTCGTGCTCCTCCTCAAAATAGTTGCTGTCAACTCTACCTTTAAGCGTTTTAATGGCAATGAGAGGATTTGAGCTGACTTGGCATCACCTTTGCTTAATTACTACTCATTTATATGTTAGTTCATACTCCTATTTCTGTATGAGAGAGATTGTGGAGAAGCTATTGTGAGAATAATGGAAGGAATGTTAGATATAAACAACCAAGAGACAGAATAAGAGCCTGTTGGTAGTTTAACTCTTAAATAGCAACTGAGTCCAGGTGGTAAGAAATCTCAGAAGAAATATTCCAAAATGTTTCAAAATTTTTGCATTATATGAATTCGCTAATAAATGAGACTAGAAAATTCCTCCTCCAGTTTTTAATATTCTGTATTTATCCTAAGATTAATATTAAAGACATCTTACTGAAGTTTGTATAATTCTTACCTCCTTAATCTTGTACAAATCTGTCTTATCTTTCTTTTTTGTTTTAATATAATTTGGGTTCAATTGTTATGACACTTCTACATTCTTAATTCAATCAAACAGTCCAAATAAATACTGCAGAATATTAGAACAAATACAAATTTGTGAGCCTATATGTTTATTTCCCTTTGGTAATTTCCCACAGCAGAGAATTATTAGAAATGCACAAGCAAACAAAAACACTAAGTATTCCATCAGTCTGTCATTCTCCTTGGTAACTAACATTTAGTCACAATTCCTTATTTATATTTACCATTTTTATTGAACAAGTCAGAAACAACCTTAAAGTTTATATTGCAGATGAAAGAACGGCTAATTTCTAAATTGTTCTCTCTATGTTGCTACTCTTTTCTTGCTTCTCTGCGAGCTTCTTTGCAAGCTAAAAACAAGTCAAGTCCACTAACAAAACTATCACCACCACAAATAGTTAGCTCAGATGAAGAACGGAACACCACTCTTAAGTACTTACCCTGGACCAAAATCACGCATTGGTTTTCAGATTGATATGCTCCTTTGTCCTTTTTTTAAAAGGTCTACCCTAAGATTTGAAAAATTCCCATCTTCCCCATCATCACAAGAAACAATAATCCAGGAAGTGATTTTGACATTATAGAATGATTGTTGTGTGCACTATCTAAAATTAACCTACTGCTACTATGGAGACTGGGTGTGGAATAAAAAGGACATTAAAAAAAAATATTCAGATATGTACAGAAATAGAATCCAGCATGAAGTCTCTGGAAAAATAACAGAAGCTTGAAATTGGAAGGGGCTAATATGACTGTCCAATGGTGCCTTCTGCTCGAAGCTGCCAACTATAGCATTCCATACAATTGGCTGTCCATCCTCTGTTTGAATCTCTAGATAATTGGCTCCATTATTGAGCTGCTTTTCCTACTAGAATTCCTCCCACTCAACCCCCAAATTAAATTGAAACCTGCCTCCTTCTACTTTAAATCCATTATTATATGTCCCTCACTCTGGAAGAAGAGAGACAGAAAAGCTTGTAACATCCTTTCAGATCTATGCCTCCTCCCCAATTTTTCTTCTCAGTCCCTTCAGTTTTATTTTAATGGATTCAATTTCCAGTCTTCTGATCATCCTCAGTGAGATGCAGGAATGATCAGATAAAGAAGTTGCAGAAGGATTCAGATGTCATTTCCGATATCTGCAGGCAAGGCTAGAATAATCCTTTACTGCCAATGGACCAATGGCTTTATCCATTATAAGACCATTCTAATATTTCCTACTTGGTACATATGAACAAACCTAAGAAGCAGAATATTCTTCCATACTGAGGATTGAGACAGAAAGACTGGTAAAGTCAATGAAGGCAGGACAAGCAGCCATTTTCTCAATTCGAGGAAGCAGCTTGGCAAGTCAACCTATCTCTTTGGACTGGCCCTTCCTGTTCTGGCAAGCTCAAACTGGAGAGACCGGAGATCAAATAGAGTATATTATTGCTTCAGCATGCAAAGCATACATTATAGTGTGATAATGCAGGAAGAATATTTAAATATGCATTGAATTGCAAACAGGATATGCATTTGAAGAGACATTTCTTATGATTTGTGATTTCCCCCAGAAAATTACATGAGTATCAACCATGTGCAGCAGAGGTTTTCCTCAAAAATTACCTCAGTAGGGGGAAAAAACAGGCTAGGTAGTACTGGGAAAAAACTGCCTCCTTCCCAGTAGCATTTTGTTTGCCAATGGATAAATTTGGTTTAGACTAAGGATGGGGGTGTGGGGTGTGGTGTTCTGTTTTGCTGATGGCAAAATTCATAGTCACTTTTTGGAGATTAAACTGTAGGCCATAAAAAAAGCAGGTTTGAAGGAAGCAGCCTAAGTCAGACCCCAGGCGAGTTTTGGCCAACTTTTCTCTCTTTGACACCTCTCCTCCTTTCTCTTTCTTCTCCTGATGACTTCTTTCCTTTCTCTTTATTCTCCACATAGAATGCTATCTGCTTGGGAATAGGTGAATCACTTTTGCTGGAAGGCTAAACCGATTGCTTAGATGATACTAAGACAACAGTTGAGTTCCTGTAACCAGCTGAATCAAACACTATTCACCAAGGCCTATTTTAGCATAGTCCAATACATAAATATAGCCATTAAGTGTCATCGCTCTCCTCTTTTCATTACGTTCTCAGCAATAAAGCATAGAGGACTAAAAGTGGAACACTCATTCTTTCAAATCAAGAAAGCAAAAAGAAATCAGACAAGTCTTCTATGCTGTAGAAATAATTGGGGCACTAAAACCCCTATGCTCGCTGAGGAAGAGGAGGGCTATAGTCCATGGGTCTTAAAGACAATTGCTTATGGCATTTACTGCCTAGAAACAGACCAAGTGCAAGAAGAATGGTCTCTCTTGCAGCTTTACTTTATCTATGATTGTAATACTTTATAGGTTTCACTTTCCACAGATTCAAACAATTTATCTCAAGATGACAGGATTTTACAGCTCAACTCTATAGCTTGCAGATGATGATTATAAGGTTCCTTCTTTAATTAACACACTCCCAGCAGCTCAGAGTCTGTATGAAGAATGGAATATAGTGAGAGTATAAAGTAATTATTTATTTATACATACATACATACTCATTATGCTATTCACATTTCAGCAAGCAATGTTGTAGAGCACAGAAAAGAAATAGCAAGTTAAAGAAATTAAAGACAAATATTTTTAAAAATCACTATATCTCTTTTTTATTTTCTATCCTTGCAAATCACTCTCGCTTCTTTCACATTTATGCATGGCTTCATACATTGCCTTTCTTCCTTAAAATTTTCATCTTTGTTTTCTTGAGGATGTTATCAATTCTACCCAACTACACTCTTGACTTTTCATTTGTATATATACATTTTTTGCAGTTGAATCATTCTTTCTCTCCATATTACCAAACCAGCTCAATACATTTCTTTTGCATACTGGTCATACTCAGCTCCCATCCTTCGGTAAAAAAATGAGGAGAAGCAAACTCTTTTACAACCCTTTTCTGACAAATAACATACTACATACTACTCATTACCTTTCTGCAAGCATTCGTGTGTCTGAAAACGTCTCCATCTATTCATCTGCCTTTAGGAAATCAAGATGTACAAATTAATATAATTATTCCAAGGATTCTTTGTGCCATATATGCATAATTTGTAATTGTTTGCTCCATTTCCCATACATATATTTTTTTCTCTGTATGCACACACACACACACACACACACACACACACACACATACACACAACTTTCTCATATTAACATATTTGTTAAAGAGAAAAAAAATGTTTTGCAATTCTTGTCTGGGACTTCTCAAACTGCTCATAGTTATCTCCGGTATTCTTTAAGGCAGAATTCTGCTAAACACTTTTCCAGGTATGTTTATCAAACTATTTCCCTTTTCTAGTACCGTAGTTCTTGCATTCATTCTTGCTATCTTTCTCCTTATACACAGAAACAATAGAATATTCTTCCAATATTAGGCACAGATGCACTCTTCATACATATTAACTAATTGTCCATTCTGCAGGTAAATGAGATCAATTTTATAGTATTCTTCCAGTCATACCAGCTACATAGGCAGCCTTTTCATTTTTCAACTTCTTCACAGCACTTATTACTTTTTCATAACTTTTCCTTCAATACCAATATGTAGCATAGCATAGCATAGCATAGCATAGCATAGCATAGCATAGCATAGCATAGCATAGCATAGCATAGCATAGCATAGGTTTATGATGTGTATATTTCCACTATTCAACATATACCCTCACTTTAGTTTCATTCCAAACCATTTCATTCCTTTCATTTTTAATCCCATTCACTCTGCTGGAGGTTCTTTGTTTAGCACCTTTATCTATTTCCAAAGCAAATATTATTTCCATCAATATTGCTCTGCATTTTTTCTGTCCTTCTTAATTTTTCTTCTCAATCTCTTTGATTATATTGCAATTGTTTTCTTCTCTCTGAATAGAATAGATACTTTTATCTCTTTCTCATGTTTTCTCTTACACAAGATCTTCATCTTTTATGTTTTTTATCCAATCCACAGCTTCCTTCACTGCCAATGTATTTTTTTAAAAAATATGTTCTTAAATTTCAAAAAAGAGTAAAATATAAACAAGAAAAAAAGAGACTTGAAAAGAAAGCAAAGTCAAACAGAAAGCAAGATAGAAGTGTAATAAGAGAAAGAAAAGAAAAATTGCATTAAAAAAACCCCAGTTTTCTTCAGTACAGATATACATAAAGACATCCATCTCTTACTCTAATATTAACAATAGTCTACATTATTTCTATAATAACATATTCCAATTATCTTTCACTGGCAAAGCAGACCAGGCTTAATTTTTCTTTGAGGGTTCTTAAAAGATTTGACATAGAAGAAAAAATATCCCATAAAATATGGTGCCTCTATAAGGTTTGCCACTTATGATGTCCTTGCAGCTTTTAACACAAGATGGTTTAAGGGGATCATGAGCCCCAGCTGAAGGATTTTATCACCTTTCAAGTTGCCCTAAGTGACAGGTCATTGCTATGGAAATGTTCCATAAGCGCTGATCATTTGCACTATTGCTAAACTTGAATCTGGTGCTTGTCTAGAAAAGTGTTATAGAGATATATTCTTAAAAAATAAAGCAGCATGGCTGATTGGCCATCATTTAGACCCAGGATTGTGCAGAAGAAAAATATTTGATATATACTAATAAGCATACAGTACTGCTGGCCATGGACAACAGAACATAGAAATGTTTGTGTCTGTGTCTCTCTCTCTGTAGTACTTGTTATATTTTCTTAGTTTAATATAAGATTTTTAACTTTCACCTTTTTATTATATAGCTTTTCAGTGATAGGTTAGATTTCTTTTTTAACTTATACAGTTCTCTCATTCAATAGTAATATAAAACAGCAGTTCTTATGTTTAGTTGTGTTTTCTAAAAGAAAATTAGTTGCAATGTTTTTGAAGTTTAATCAATTTTTTTAATAAAAAGTGAAAACAGGCATGTCTGAAGCAGGCTAAGATGGTCAATAAAGCTGAGCAGATCCTACACCCAGAGCCACATCATCAGCATCCCCTACAATGAACATTCATCCAGCAAGACTTGGATTGGGAGAAAGTAATGAGTATTCAAACACTGAAGGCTGCCTCTGCAGTGGCCTGGGATAAGACAAAAGTGGTATTATGTAGACATCTATTTTTAAAATAGTTTCAGTGGCATCCTTGTGCTTTAATAGGTGGGACATGGGATGAATCCTTGGGTGTACAGCTACTATATGCACTTTAAGCCCATTCTGGCCATTATGCCACAAACACAATCAAAACTTGATTTATTTCAAGCAGTACCCTCTATCTTGCAAGCCAATGCGTTGTTGCTTACTTCCCACTAACAATGAGGAAGACAAGTTGTTCTGACACACAACATATGGGATGTACAATCTTCCAGAATTAACTCTATCTGGATGTCCAAAGGCCCCTTTTCCTTGGCTTGGTTCAGTTTTGGAAATGTGCTTATGTTATCAGCAATGTGCTATTAATTAATTAGACTTCCTTTTATAGAGGCAGTACACTTTAGCTTAATTTATACACATTCTAAAAAAAAAAATGAGGCCCTCTCTCCTCTCCTTTCCTGGCAAACTTCTTATAAGAGCTTGTCTGTTTTCAGCCACTATGATGGACTAGGTCAAGGTGATATTCGTTTTCCCTGTCAAGTGTGCAGTAGAAGAAAAACTGCATTTCCATCCAAAATTTTCCTTCCTCCCTTTTATAGATGAGGGAAAAGGCAGGACAAACTTGGGGGGACAAAAGTTAAAAGAGAAGTCAAGAAGCTGCAAGAGCGGTCAAGAGGCCTCTAGAGGGAATTCTAGTTGGATTGATGAACACTTTATGGTGGACACATTCCCATCAGAGAGGAAATCAACTTCCTCAGGAATGCTCCTTTATTATGAAAACAGCCAATACATGTTTGAGAAATATATGCATTGTTACCCAATTGTTTACAAATTTTTTTTATCTTCTTATAATAATAGGCGAGTGGATCCAGATTTCAGTAGATCGATTCTAAAGAATAGCTTTCAACATTTATGTCAGTCCTGGAAGCCATCTTTTACTTTGGATCTTCTGGGCTGCCGCATTTAGTGCTGTGGGAAATTGGGAGAGGGTGTTGTATGGAGTTGGGGAGATATCTAGCCATAATAATATTCTTTTCTCTGAGAGTCAAGGACATCCTGCCCTGCACCTGAAGTGATGTGACTGGGAGGCATCTCCAATTGGGATGGTGCATTGATTGGACCATGTGATGGACATGTGGGTACTGGGGCAGGGACTTGGACTTTCTTTTGGGTGGGGAAAACCTGGAAGCTTTCAGATTTGGTTTTCCCAGATGTGCCAATATGACATCTCTAATAAAATGGAAGTTTGAGGAACTTCTAACCTTGGAGTCTTCTTTCGTTGGGGGTGTTACTTGGAATACTGACAATTTATGCACTGCCAATCTCCTTAGCCCTCTGGGAATTTTATAAATGCATGAATCCAAGGTGTGTATATAGTCCCTAGAACAGTGATGGCTAACCTTTTTACTGTCACATGCCAAAAGCGGGGGGAGTGCAGGGGGGGGTCGTGTCCATGTTTGCCCACACCCATAATTCAAGCCCCCCCCCACATGCATGCGTGACCCCCCTGCACTCTCCCTGCTTTTGGCATGTGATGGCACAGTGGGCCCGGTAGGCCTGTTTTTTGCCCTCCCAAGGCTTCAGAGGCTTTCTTGGAGCCTGGGGAGGGCGAAAACGGCCTTTCTCACCCCTCCAGAGCCTGGAAACGACCCGTTTCCCAACTTCCAGTGGGACCAGAAGGCCCAAAAATCAGCGCTGGAGCTGAGCTAGGGCAATGCTCGCGTGCCCACAGATATCGCTCCACGTGCAACCTGTGGCGCACGTGCCATAGGTTCACCATCACGGCCCTAGAATATTTTGCTGTTGTTTTATTGTATAAGATTGTATAAGGGGCTGCAGATTATTTTTATGACCACTTGCATAGTATATGGCATTAATGTATGTGTTTTCTCAGTTTTTCTGTACCTTTAATTGAAATTTTAGGGAAAGGTGTATTTTATTTTGTTGCTATGTCACTGTCTCTGGCCACACATTGCAAATGAAGTTTTCTGTTCTTTCCTAGGTTTATTTTCCTATATGGAATTATCCTTTTGAACTCTGCTGTTTAATACATTTGTTTGTGAATTAATATTTACTGAGGTTTGCTGGCATGCTTTGTTTATCATACTGTTTTTGCTTGCATGTGTTAACATAGCTTGGATAGTTACAACCTTGTTGATTATTATCTTGGAATTTTTGCAGACTCTATTAAAAGTGTAAGTCGTTATTTAGTCATCTCTCCTCTAAATTGCATTTCCTTTAAAGGGGAACCATATAGCACCCACCCTTAAACCCACTACTGCATCCTCATGCTGTCTTCTAATGCCACCAAGGTCTGTGGCTGCATAAGTACTGTACCCAATTGGCTTGTAGCCACACACCACTGAATTTTAACTAAACAATTACATTTAAAAAGCTGAGTACATACCAAACCGTTTAAAGACAAAATTCAACATAATACACTTGTCCTTTTGCAGTATTGTCCTGTCATTTGTTGCCTGTTTTGTATTGTCTCTTTAAAAACGTTTAATGAAGGAAGAAAATGCACATTTGTCCCATTTTAAAAGAAAATGTCAGGAAAATTAACCTCTCTGGTCTTCCAGAGCATTTATGTGGGGAGAACGTAGTGTGCTCTACTGCTGTTGATTCAGCGCTAGCATTTATATAGCACCAAAAATAAAATGTGTTATTCCCCTCCACCTCACCATCTGGAAAGGACTTTAATGATGCATGTGCTGCCTCTCCATCCCTGGATTGTCTTCTGTGTTGCATTGATTTGCAGTTCTTTGGCTTCATGCATTGATTTTTGCACTTTCCCCTCCAGCATCTCTTGACATATTTCCATTTCTGGGCTGGTTTCCCTAAGCTAGCACATTTCATCCACAGTGCCAGCAAAGAACACCTTCCCTTCCAGGGCAATAGGTTCATGTTTTGTTCTTGAGAAGATTGCTATATTTTCCTGCATGAATTTTCTTCCAGAAGATGAAGAAACATGTTCCCTGAGCTAATTCCTTCTCTCCATCCATCCATCCATGCTTTTCTCAGCAAATCCTCTTCTTTTCTGAGGTATATGTATAGGACTTCCACTTGGTTAAACAGACTGATGCATCATTTTCTTTCATAGTGGGCGGCTTGATTAATTTCTCTTGATGTCGCATGGACTGGTGCATTTCCTCGACTGCTGCTTCCCTCTTCATAATACATGCATGAAAGGATCCTCTTTTTGGGGTGGAGTTGTGCATCTTTAGGATAAAGTAATGTGCTTGATGCTTTCTTCAAACTGCTGCATTTTCGCAGGTTCAGGTGTTCTTCCAGGTAATGCAAGTAGCCAGACCCTTCCTGGATTGTATTTTTTATGCCAATGGAAGTATTTGGTGCATTTTGTACACTTGTCGACATCTCTTTCTTTTTATCTCACGACCGGGTTCCTTTCGATTAGTTAACAAGCACTGGGATGTTTGTTTGGACCAGGACCCAAAGACTGCTTGCTTTTTTTGTTACTTCCCTTACCGGTTTTACCTGCGATGCATCTGATTTTTCTTCTCCTCTTCTTCCCCCCACCCTCTTTTTTCCTGAAGAACCACTGAATGACATCATCCTAAAAGTCAGCCCCGCCCTCAGGTTTCCCCAATTGGTTTCTCGTGTTCCCCTCCCGCCCACTAGCTCCTTCATCCATTGGTTTGGTTTCCTTGCCACTCGGGGTATGGCTTCCCCTCCCAACTCCACGAGTGGGCCGTAACTCAGGGTCTCCCCCGAACTATGCGGGTAGCTCGTTGGGCAGAGTACACGTCAGTCAGGACTTTCTTAAAGGGGCAGGGGCACCGTAGCTTTGCATTGGGCAAAGGGGCGGGATTGTCTCCTCCTTTTGCTCTCTGGATCTGCTTGGGCGGGCTAGAGGGGGGCGCCAGGCGGTGGCCGACCGGCCGGCCGGGAGGGAGGGATGCCGGAGCTGGGGAGTGGATTCTCCTGGGGGGACGGGTTCCATCCCTGAAAGCCGGGAGAGGGGGCTAGGCATCAGCCCCCTCCCCCCCGGCTGTCTCCTGCATCCCTCTTGAATCAGCACCATCACCAGCAGAAGCAGCGCCGCCTCCCCCGCCTGCTGCAAAGGCAGGTAAGAACCGGGCTTGGGAGCTCCCATCTCCACCCTGGAAACCTGCGCTATTCCCCGCTGCTTCCGTCCTCTCTGTCCTTTCTTTGGATGCTTCACCTCCTCTAGGACCGGCTGTTCCCTGGCTGCCGCTGAAACCTCTGCTCCTTCTCCCTTTCGCAGCAGCGCTATCCGAAATCGTCCGGCTCCGCATCTCTGCTTCCCTCCCCCTCCCTTAGCTCGTTTGCCTCAATGTCTCACTGGTTTCCGCATCCCCGGGCTCCCGACAGCTTCCATTGCTCTCCACCCGCGCCGCTTCACTCTCATCCCTCTTGCTTTGCACCTAGAGCACCTGCGTCTTTCCCACGCACTCTGCACTGAGCCTCAGAAAGACCCCCAATATACAGAGGAGATCCCCTAAGCCATAGCATCCATAATCTGTCTTTCCCCCCTCAGCTATCCGGATTCTCCAGCAGGCTCTGGGCATCTCCATTTTTCTGTCCAATCAACCACCAAGGATTCTGAGCCCGTTCCCATGAGATTGCTTCTTGTTTATTCTCCTTTGCTTAACCTGCCCTCCCCCAGCCACGTTGTCTGTTACCCCTTCTATCCTTTTCTGGGTGCCCCCCCCCTCCCAAACAGCTCCCAACATCTTTTTCCCTGGAAGCTTCTAAAACCTTAGCACCTAACCCAGCCTCATTTTCCTCTTTACCTCTCTGTCTACCCAGGCCCTCTATTCCTAAAACGGATGCTGACCAGCTTGGACTCAGGGGCCCAAACAGGTCAGTTCCATGAGGCCCTCTATAGGAGGGGGCTTCTGCCGCTGGCAGTCCTTTGAATCGCCATCAGACGTGCCATACATCCCACCCATTTGCCTCATGTCATTAGCTCAGCAAAAGTCCTCTGTCTTTCACAGCGGCCTTTCACTTTCCACATCCCCTTAGATCTACCTGTAGTCTCCAATCCATGAGAAAAGAAGGCTTTTTCAGTTCACCATCTTCTCACTGGCCTTGCCTGTGTTCTGCTCAGTTGTCAACCCCTAAGCTCTTACCTACCTCCATAGAGAACTTTTGGTTTCTACCCTGCAACTGCATTCCCCAATAGCACTCCCCTTTTCTGATGTTATCTTATCTGGGTTTCCAAAGCCTCCCAGATGGAAAGGTATATCCAAGTTTCAGCCTCATACTTATCCACTACTTATACTTTGTCTCCCACTTTAGCCAACATCTCCTTACTTTCCTACCTCCATTTGGCTTCAAGTGCAATACCCACATTTATGCCTTAGGAGTCTCTGTGTCCTTTGCCAAAGGGTCTGCCATCTATTTCAGTTTACACCTTCTTACACATATAATCTCCAAGTCCAAGTGATATTGCACTCGTAGCACATCCCAGGTTTTCATGATGGTCTTACTCCATTATTCCTGTCTATTTCAGCAACTTTTTTCTAAGTACTCCACAATTACCAACACTACTTGTTTTCCAAGATTATATCCATTCAAGATATATAGCCCTAGATGCTCCTGCCTTCTACCCCAGAGCAGGATATATACACCACATTAAACAATTATATGATTTGCTTGGTTGACCTTAGTCTGTTGGATGAATGCAAACATTATAATTTGTAAGCCATGTTTATGATTTGCTGTGTTGCTTGGTGAATGTTATATAAATCAATAACTACTTTTATAATAAACCATGGTTAATTATAGTGTAGTGTGATGTGTGATGTATGATTATTGGGACGCGGTGGCTTAGTGGCTAAGACACTGAGCTTGTTGATCGAAAGGTCGGCAGTTCAGTGGTTTGAATCCCTAGTGCCGCGTAATGGGGTGAGCTCCCATTACTTGTCCCAGCTTCTGCCAACCTAGCAGTTCGAAAGCACGTAAAAAATGCAAGTAGAAAAATAGGGACCACCTTTGGTGGGAAGGTAAGTGTTTCATGCTCCTTTAGCATTTAGTCATGCCGGTCACATGACCATAGAGACGTCTTTGGACAGCGCTGGGGTCTTCAGCTTTGAAAAGAAGATGAGCACCGCCCCCTAGAGTCGGGAACCACTATCATGTATGTGCGAGGGGAACCTTTACCTTTACCTATGATGTGTGAACATAATTTAACTTTTGATTCCACATCCATACTTGTATCTAATTTCTTCTAAAAAATAGCTTCTGTTTCCAGCTCAACATCCACCCACTAGTTCATTTTTCTCTTCTTCTTTTGGCTCTCCATATGTACTGAATCAGATCAATATTTTGGTCATTCATTCATTCATTCATTCATTTTGCCTATTCATGTTTTCATCTCTCAAACATCTGCATTGAATTCTCTTCAGATGTCATTCCCATTTCCCAGATGTCTGCCTGGAAAACCCTTTCTTGCATCCACAAACCAGACAATGGGTTTGTTGGATCAGCTGCTTCTGCTAAGACTCCTTCTTGCTATATATCAGGCTATTGTACCATAATATATAGAAAAAAAGAATATGTCTGATGCTTTGATAGCACAAAATATTATGGGGTCTGTATTAAAACTCAAAATGTCTAGTAGCAGCCAATAGATTACAATCTCTTATCCAAAGCCTACAATTCTTTATATGAAGTTAATAGTTGGAGTGTCTCCTTTTGTGGTCTCAGGGAGTTACATTTTCTATCCTCATTGCATGCCTATTGGAAGAGTTGATGGATTTGCTGTCTGCTTCCTATTTTTGCAGGCAAAGATTTGACAGCCTTCCATAGTTATTTTTGATAAACTCATAAGACCCAAATGAAGATACCGTGTAGTTTAGACACTTGCAGACAGACGCATAAGCAAACTTCATGCATCACCTCTTTTTGGCAACTATGTTCATAGAAGTTGTTAATAATAAATATTTCTAGGGGAGTTTTTCAGCTCTTCCCATAGAAATGTTTATGTGAATTATAGTTGCAGGGAGGGCATTTTTCCATTTTGCGGGCAGAATACACACATACTGACACAGATTCAAACTTACGTACAACAGTGACATACAACAGTATTGTACAGTAACACAATAATATTGCATAAATGTTTGAATGTGCATCTCTGAACAGAAGAATTATTCCTTTATATACTTGCAAACAGTGAAATGTACATATCCATTTACCAAAATGTTGGAGATGATATGGTAGGGGTAGACCTCTATTATAACATGTATGAGCAGTAGTATTGGAAAATATTTTAAAAATACAGTCAGTATTAGGAGTTCAAAGCTCTTTCCTGTGCATATTTGTCCTGGAATATACATGTTTACAGATGTATGTCCATATTAGGTGTGACATGCATCTTACTAACATGTCCAGATGCATGTAATTGAATGATATTTGGTTCTGAACAATTGGTCATGAAATCAAAATGTTTCTTGCATTTATTTGGAATTACAGCAATGGATAGATTCTCCTATAATAAATATACTACATAAAATAAATTAACTATATAAAATAGTTTTCATGTTTTACTTCTATATCAAAAGTGTAGTTAAACTATGAAGTTCATTGCCATCATCTATGGTTATGGCTTTTAAAGGAGACTTGACAATTTCATGGAGGAGGTTTACACAACTAGTAATCTTCAAGACTGTTATACCACTTCTTAAAGCACCAGAGACATATATTTAAGAATAGCTGTTGGAGACCATGGAATCATGAAGAAGATTGCTTTGTGGTCCTACTTCTGATCTTCTCCAGTCCACTAGCTTAGCCCTTGGGTGGCACACAATATTGAACTAAAATGTGCTCTTGGCCAGACCCACCTGGATTCTTCTGTTGTTATACCTCTGCACTGACCCCTGACTTCGTTGACGTGCTCCAAGACATGCTTCACCAAACTCACAAATAAATATGAAGACTGTTCCTGGGTTTCACAGGTGTTATCTTTGTTCTGCCACATATGGCTATGAATCCAACCTATACTGTGACAGTAAAGATGTTCTGATGGAGACAAATGAAAGTTGGCATTAATGCACAAAATCAGAACACCTCCATTCCTGTCCCAAACTTAGCAGTGCCTTTATAGGCTAAATGTGACTATGATGAAATTGTATATTAAGCTTCAAATATATTGAAGTTTTTCACTCATAATAAACTCATATTATTTTGCTTTTATATTAGATTACCATGGTTTAGGTTGATTTTACTGCTTTCCCCCCTTATAATTCCATAGGAAAAAGTCTCTAGATTTTGCCAGGGTGGGTTGACAAACAAGAAGATGCAGTTACTGAGTGAATGAATACTTTGCAAGAATAATTTTATTAGCTAAGTAATGTTCTCTCTATTTCTTGAATCTTTCTTATAAAGTCACGAGGATTAAAAAATTTGTTGGTTTTGGAATAAAAATGGGTGAGAGATTACCTGAATGTCCCCTTTCATATTTCAAGTATAATTCTAAGTTTTTCAATCTATTGTCATACTAGCATACATTTACTATTGATAATGATTTGGCTTTCAGAACTTTTGTTATCCTCTTTTGCTTATTGTCTGCAAGTCTGAAGAAGGGGGACTATGTGAATCATCTTGCCAGGTCTTCCCCATTGGTTGCAATTGCCACAGTTTTGCGCGTACATTCCTATTGTGGAGTCCTTGGTCCTCTTTGAGCTTGCCAACTGAGCTCAGAGAGCACCAAGGATTCACAATTCAACCCTGAACCACAAATATTCTCTTCTATTGAAAGTTGCTATTTTTAGATTTTTTAAAACCCCACCTTTATTATTTTTATAAATAACTCAAAGCAGTGAACATTCCTGATACCTCTTTCTCCTATTTTCTCCACAACAACCATCCTGTCAGGTGAGTTGGATTGACTTTCTCACCTGGTTGGCTTTCGTGCCTAAAGCAGGATTAGATCTCACAGTCTCTTGGTTCTAACCTGGAGCTTTAACCACTAGACAAAGCTGCCTCTCTTATTACTCTATTTTACTCTATTACACACCCACACAAACATCCATCTTGATTTTGTGGGTATCTATTTATCTATCCATCTATCTATCTATCTATCTATCTAATCATTTTGGTTCTTGTATGCCAAATACATAATGTCCCTGTGATATGTCCTAATGGGCACTGTGGTTTCACCTGCTTGATTGTTTGAAGTAGGCAACTGATGTGTCTCATTTGTAGATTGCTATAGCTGCTTCATGGGTTCTTAATGTTGGATGAGAAGAAGGCGGACTGTATGCAACGAGACTTGGTATGCAACAAGATACTATAAAGTTTCAGTATCCCCAACTTTCTTTGGTGAACTCTTTCCTTGGCTTGTGGTAAAGTACAACCAATGAGACTCACTTTTGATTTGTACTGCTTTCCACTTCTCTTTTGATGGGGTTTGCCCTTGGTTTCCTCTGAGCTCAGCTTCAGTATGATTTATAGTAGGAACTGGCCTTGAATAGCTGAAGTATCCTTTACTAAAACAAATGCATTCCCTTCTGAGTTCTGCCTGTATTTTTTTTTCAGGCAGGTTTGGAAGATCATAAAATAGAATCTTGTTATTTCAAGGAAACCAAATATCTCCAGCAACATGCATCACACCAAAAGAAGATTGGATCCCTAATAACTTTGAAATTTGTTTGATTGGCCAGGAATAGTATCAGGAGCTAAATCTTATAACTCTTTTGGCCAGTTGGAGATAGGCAGATCACCTTTCTCTCACCTGGAGTAGATTTCTGAGCAACAGTGATTTATAGAAAGGGTCTTTAGATCAAGGAAGGGTTGATTATGAATATCTTGCTTGTAATATATGGTATGCATGAGTATTAAATTTTAAGTTATTGGGTATT